TTGTTTATATATATACTAAATTTGTTTATATGTATATGACAGAGTGATCAATTTATTCGCGCACAACAGACACAGTTCGGTGTACCTAGAATGCCGGTACGTTTCGATGAAACGCTCGGTACGTGTTTAAGAGTTAATACAAGTAGTGTGAGAGTAGTCAGACATAGCAATATTCGCCGCACACACTCCTGACACCGTGTGGGGCTAATAGAATACGCTCAAGCGATCTGTATGAGGACAAGGGAAATGAGGTGTGCATGTACATGACAACATCAACGTCCGTTGCACGTAAACTAGACCCCGTATGGTGTGCTTAGAATACGTTCACCTAGACGTACAGTGTGCCTAGAATACGTTCAAACGATCAGTACAAGAACAAGGGCGACAATGTGTACACGCGGGGAAACAAACGTTTTGAGCCGACGACTGTTCGGTACAAGTATGGCTGCGACCTATGCCACACAATTAGAACTACCTTGAAGTCAACCATTACAAATGATCGTCCGATTTTGCGCGCAGCTGTGTTTTTGGATAAGTAGTTCAGCGCCCGACATCCCTGTTCAACGTCCGCAATCTGTCGCGAATTTTATTTTAAAAATGCCAAATCCATCAGTACAATGGAAAATGGACTGTAAGAATCTAGTGTTTAATTCACAGACGTATATCCAAAATCCCTAATCAATACAACAGAACATTGGCATTGTACTATAACATTCTCAAAAGTACCCGAAAATGCCAACTCGATCAGTTCAACAGTAGATGTACTGTGATTGCGGGAAATATCAAATATCATAAGAAGCGGCTGTTGTGCTAAGTGTGACCTTCCTCCAGCGACCACTGAGTTCTGACTCTGAGCAACAGAGAGAGAGCAACTCGTGCGTTGTTCTCGGATGAAGGGGCTATACATTGATAACGTGGAGAGAGGTATACAGGCAATACAGGGATATATATAAATAGACCCAGAGGAAAGACTTCAAATCTGTTTACGTACAAACAGACATATGAGATATACATGTACGTTTTCCAAATCCTATACCTATATCACATACGTATACATGCAAACGTAAGACACCTGCAACGACTCACACCTGGGGTGGTGGAGAGATCACCTTTATATTCCATATACCGTAGGACTTGTCCCGTTCACAGATAAGTGCCCGATGCCAGCGCCAGGTGATAGTCACCACCTTCGTCGCTTCTCTATGTCTGTCTGAGAGGGGCTGAAACCGGAACACCTGTGCAACGGAGCAACATTTTTAACGTTAAAGTAAATATTTTTAATGTTAAAATTGTAATTGAACGTTAAAATCGCATGAGCAGGTGTACAGAAACTATCTGCAGATGGCTATAGACGTGAAGCACAAAATAATTCTGCAAGTAAATATAAATGTACTATAAGTACAAATGCAGGTAAGTATGTGGCACCGTAAGCCTACGTATAGATTATACTGCAAGTATGAAGCATCTATACAATGAATGATATCCGTGTAAAGTATGACATTCTATGCAAACAATAACGATGTAGCTCCAGCTCTGATGCTGGGATGCGTATGAGTGGAAGTTGATAGCACTGACAGACCGTAACTATATGTATATCTACCTGGGGAAAGAAAAACCTCAAAAAAAAATGGAAAGTAAATTTGGTGCCTAGCCGCTAATAAACATATATACTCTGTAGCCATCCAATTTTAAATGCATTCATAAACCACATGTGCAGAACTAATGTACACGGGACTCGTATAGAACTAGTATAGAACTAGTATAGAACTAGTATAGAACTAGTATAGAACTAGTATAGAACTAGTATAGAACTAGTATATAACTAGTATATAACTAGTATAGAACTAGTATAGAACTAGTATAGAACTAGTATAGAAATAATATAGAACTAGTATAGAACTAGTATAGAACTAGTATAGAACTAGTATAGAACTAGTATAGAACTAGTATAGAAATAGTATAGAAATAGTATAGAACTAGTATAGAACTAGTATAGAACTAGTATAGAACTAGTATAGAACTAGTATAGAACTAGTATAGAACTAGTATAGAACTAGTATAGAGCTAGTATAGAACTAGTATACATCATTATCCTCCAACTCACCCGTAATAGCACAGCCAAGGGCGTAGACACATGTTCTGTCTATCAAAGCAACTATAAAAACATCCTTGTTCAATAACCAGGGTATATTTAACCCCCAGACAACTTATAAGCACCCTACCCACTGGGACGTATACGGTTTGACAGGGGCACATACCCTCTTCGATCCCTCAGGCAAGCTTAGTAGCACAGCCTCAAACTCGCGCAGATTGGGTGTGAGAATGCCTCCCACAGATTTGACGACCACGTGCTTGCCTACTCGGGCGTTTCGTAGGATATAGCCGGCCTTGGATACGTACACGCCCTGATGATGAGTGTGTAAACGTTTGAGTGGGGCGTTGAAACGGAATGGTTTCAGCCTCGGACACATGTACACACGCCCTAATGATTGTATAAACACTTGAAGTAGACGTTAAATTTACGCTATGGGTAGCCCTTGATATAGCGGTCTGAGTGCACACCCTATGTATAGGCGTTTACAGTAGGCGTTAAAACATTTTACGTTAAGGGTAGCCCTGAAACGTTTCAAGTAGACGTTAACACGGACTGATTTAACAGTACCGATATGTAGCTCTGGACACTTGCATGCCTGGAGGGTTAATGAAACGCTTTGACTGGAGATCGACAATAAGCTGTCGTTACAACGTGCATATGCAGGGGATTGGAATGAATTACAATTAACGTTAGATTCACGTTAAATTACATCAGCGTTATTTTGATCAGCATATCCGGGGATAGAATAAACATCATAGTTTTAAAAACGTTCGATCTTACATTAGTTCAGAAGTCTTGAATTAATTCGATATTTAGATACCACAATCTGGCTTTAACGCGAACGTCACCGCTTTAGGGTAGAATCCACCGACTATGAAACGTTTTGGAGCGGAATTATTCGTCCCATTCGATAGATACGTGTCCTTGTAACCAACGATACATTATAAGAAACAGATAAAACGCTAAAAAAACTTCAAAAACACATTAGGAACACACGTATAGTTGCAGCTAGTATGAGCTCGTCCCGAAAATAGCCTGAGAGGCAAATAAATTATTATCTTGTTGCTTGTCACAATTTAGGTTTTGTTGCTGGCCAAAATTAACGTTTTGTTGCTCGCCACGAGTATAGTCTGAGCAGCAGATAAACTATCGTTTTACTGCTTTCAATTGAAAGGCAAAATTATATGTTCTCCTTTTTTTAAAAGATAGAATAAAAATACAAATTCATCTGCACGCTGGCACGGAATGGAGGGTGCACGCACGAGATGGTGCAAGACGTTGTTGCTACATGTTAGGTCACCCATCGTCAACAAGTGGATAGATAACACATGCGTAGTTGAAGTAGACGATGTCTATCCCATACAGACACATACATATATAGAGTAGAAATCCCATACAGACACATACGTATATGTAGTAGGAATCCTATACAGACACATAGGTATATAAAGTATCAATCCCTCTATATAACGTAAATCAATGTTACCTGGCATGGAATAGAGGCTGCACGCGCCAGTTGGTACGAAACATCGTGAAATATGCAATCGCCCATCTCCAGAAAGCGTGTGGGGGTCAGGGCATGCAGGTCCTGCACCTGCAAGTCAAAGACCAGGTTGCTTGCACCTCTCTGGATGGAAACGGACACTTTGTCCCCGACATTGCCGTCAATAAACTGTGGTACGAAGTGGTAGGTGTTGTGCGTATCTATGAGATGGCATGTAGACGTATACTGCTATGTGGGCGCACTCTGTGTGGGAGAGTGTATACCAAAATCTCTGAGCTCTGCTGGTGTCTTATTATATACGTTATATGGGCTTCTTTGCACGTGTACCAGTGTGTGTGAGGGGTATTGTACGGGTCCTACACTGATACATATAACTTCCCATTGCGGTCAATTTTGCGGTAAAAGGCGGGCATCATGGCCAGTTACCTTGGCTGAGTGTGAGCGTCTGGGACATGTTCATGAATGTTGTTGACGACACGGGATACGTTTACAGACTAGGCTAGTAATGTAAGCGCTAAGCAAACATAATGTAGTGAGCAAGCGTAGGAGCTGGTTCCGCCTTCTGTCAATACGTTATGGGTTGAGCGTCTGGTACATGTGCGTGTATTGGTTCAATGGCACGTGCTACGTACACCCTAGGTTAGCGATATAAGAGCTATGTGAATGTGCCAACAGGTTAAAGCGAACGAGTTCACCCCATACGCAGTAAATGATGTATATAAATATA